ACCAAGACAATGTATCTAGCAGGAGCTAGAACCACAGAGGAGAATAGCTACTGCCAGTGGCACCATCATGGCAGTTGGGGGAATATTCTGGCTTCTTTCTTCTACTGTCTGATGCTTTACCACAAAATATCTATACTGACTTTGAATCCTATCTTCAACACTTACTAGCAATGCCACCTTCTTGCTAGTCCCCAGCCTTTTTGTACCTTTGTGGCCCTATGTTATGGCTTGTGCTTAGCTGTCCCCCTAAAGCCTTATGCAGTCATAGGTGGGGCTTTTTCAGAGGTGATTGGATCTAGAGTGTGGGAATGATTCATGGTGCAATGTTAGGATTAAGGGTGTTAGGACTGAGGGCGGGTAATTACTAAATCAGTCCACTGATTGGCTTGGCACCGCCCTTATCCCAGTAGCCTGGATACAATATAAGGGACAGAAAGAGGCTCGTTTTGTCCCTTGCTTGCTTTGCTTCGTTTTGCCCACCAAGAAGTATTTCTCCTCTGCAATGTTTGTCTGCCATGCTACCCTTCCTTGGAACCAGCCAACTATAGACTGAAACCTCTGTAAACTGTGAGCCAAGTAAACCTTTCCTCCATTAACTTGGGGCATTGGGTATTTTGTCTCAGCAAGGAGAAAAGTAACTAACACAGCCTATTTGCAAATAAGGATACATACTTCAATGAGGTTTGTCTTATACCTTAGGCCAGAGGTGGCAAACCTATGGCACACATGCCACGAGTGGCTGTTTGTATCATTGAAAACCCTAAAAGGTTTTCCATTACTGCCCTAGGCTGTGGAAAATACTCATCAATTGTGATTCTGTGCAGCTAAGATTACTCTTGCCTTCAACTATGCCTAAAAGGGCTCCTCAAAAAAAGAAAATGTGCAAACTACATGTCTGCATATAGTGACAACACAAGAAATTACATTTGCCTTGAGTTGAAGTTAATAGGTGTCTGAGACAGATATTCAGAGCCAAGTTATGAAGCCAGACCATTGAAGAGCCAGGAAGATAAGAGCAGGGTGATGGTGGCAGAAAGTAGGAGGGAAAAAGTTAGAACTTGAGCCTCAGTGAGCTTCTAGGGCTTTTCTGCAGCATAAGCAGAAATGTTGGCTGTGTTCAAACCCTATGATCATGAAAGCTGGGAACTATACAAGTCTATATATATAAATTGTTTCCCATGCCATTTGATGAACAATAAAAATTAATTCCTGTCTTATCTCTCTTTTGTTTCCATATGAAACATTCATGCTAGTGTTTCAACACTCATGTTAGGCACTAGGGTTGCAAAGACATTATAACAGTGGAAAAGATATAGAATCAGCCAACTAAAATTTAAATACAATAGACTTTCTACCAAATAAAATTGTAGAACAGTAATAGCCTATGGAAGTAATAAAAATGGAGGAATTAATTTTGTTTTAAGGAATCAACAGTTTTCAGAGGAAATATAGCACTTGACCAGAGTATGAAAGATAAACAGATACTACTGTTAGAGAAGAAAAAGCACTGTAGCAGTGAGAACAGTACAGAGATGCAATAGCATGTTTGGGTTTGGGCTCAGTGTGTCTAGACTCCAGAAGATAGGGAGAAGAGGAGAGAGTGTGAAGTGACTCAGTGGAAGAGGAGGGTGGGAAGGACACTGGAGGCAGCTCCTTGAGGGCCTTCTGTTAATCAGAAAGTCTCAGCACTTGTAGAATCTTTTTAGGTTCAGAAAGTTGAACTTAAACAGGCAGTTTGCTGGTAGCAAGTCATGGAAACACTTAATTCAAAGGAATATTACAAAGCTGGAGTTGTAAATTATTCTTCTGTCAAGGATTTTATTCAGTCCACTACCTAGAGAGATTTATAACTCCAAGCTTCCAGTCCCCACTGCCTTGAGATCTTTATTAAGCCATGAGGCTATTTCTAGAAATTTCCTATCCAGTTCATCTGATCCCTAGACTTTTGGGTTTCATTGAATAAAGCTTATGTCTTCCATCATAATCCTGCTTTGAGGATACAGGAAATTGGTATGGGGTACTGGAATCAGAGCCTAGATATGTTTTATGAATACATATATACCAGTGTTTTGGCCCAGAGGACCAGCTTCAGTACTTCATGGTATGTGGCTTTGACAGTGCCATATAATTCAGCAACTCTTTCATATCCTTTATTTTGTTTAATTCTCCTACCAACTCTGAGAATATAAATCAATTATCATAAAATCCTATTTTACAGAATGAGAGACTGAGGCATCTGGTATAGCCTTTAACTTTGGTCTTCTGAAAAAAGCTAAGGGTTTGATTGTGCAGGGAAGGATTATCTAATGAGTTGTTCCTTAAAGTTTGGGGCTTAAATGTAGTGAAGGAATTTGTCATAAAAGAAAGTCTCTGTCACACTGAATGTGGACAATGGTTGGAGAAGGAAGAAGGCCTCTGAGATTGAAAATGAAGGTCTTGGATAGGCATTGGCCAGGCTAAGTTTAGAAGCAGGCAGGATGTTGCTCCATTTCTACCCATCTAAGTCTTTCAGCATATGGCCTTCCACACTTAAGCCCCTGTAGTGTTTCTCCACTACTTACAGGGGATAGTTAGTGCCCTTAGCTGAGAGTTGTGGTACCTGTGCAGACTGCCCCCTAAAGATTTTTCCATCTTTACCTCTTAGATGCACTGAGCTTTTCACTTGGTACTTGTATAGATGTTGCACTTGCCCCATCTATGTTTTCTTATGCTATTTACTTTGCTAAAAAAATGCCCTTTCTTCTGGTTCCTAGTTGTTTGTTTATTCATGTGCTTATTCATTAAGTGGACTAATGAGTAAAGTGCCTACTTGGTGCCAAGCACTGCTCTAGACACTGAAAATACAATAGCCTCTGCATAAACAGTCTCTGCCTTCACAGAGAAGGAGGAAAGCATTCAGCAAACACATAAATCTATAAGGAAAACCATAATCAGGATACAGAAGAAGTAAATAGTGCAATGTGGTATTATATCTCAAGCTCCTAGATAGGCTGGGGTATCAGGGATAGCTTTTGTGAGGCAGAATATTTAAGGTGACTCTTAAAAGAAAACTCTGATTCCCCTCAAGCAAGGTCAGGGACCAAATCTTCTATAAAGCTTTGAGAGGCTGGTTAGAGTATTGGAAGTCACAGCCCCAGTGAGAAGGCGGGTTGCGCTAAAATGGGAATCCTTCCTCTCCTCCTGGCCTCCGCCGCAATTCCCAAAATAGGAAGCAAATGGAATTGTGTTTGTGTTGAAGCTGAAATTATTCTTGTTTCCCTCCTCCCTCCATGCTCTTCCTGCCAACATACTTCTCACTCCATCTTGGTATTCATGTTCAAAGTCATAAAGAGGTCTAACATGAGCATCTCCCAGGTGCCAAATATGCACAGGGCACTTAATGTACATCTTCATATAAACCCCTATAGCAATGTGCCAAAGTCAGTATGACAGTTCTAATTTTACCAGTATAGAAACTGGGGTGTGTTGGAGTTAACTGAATTCCCAGGTTTACACAGATAGTAGGTGGCAGAGCTGAGATCACAGGCCAGCCAGTCAAATGCACTTATCCTAGTGCTGCTCTTTCGAGCACATCACATCTGCTTCCTTCCCCAAGTAGCCCCTCAGCTTTAAAAACTGCAACCTGGCCTTCCTCCATGTCTTCTCTTCTCCAGGCCATATTCTCCAACCGTTAGCTTTTATCCCAAAGATGGAAAGCCTACAGTCATTTCCCTTCAGTTATCCTTCTATCATTGAGTTCTTGTTTTGTTACTTTGAAGAGAAAATTTTGGCATATTGTTCTCCCAGGTAGCCTTGTCCCACTCACTGTGTGTTAAGGCCAGTGTCTTTCTATGGCTGCTAAATCCCTGTTTGACTGGCCTCTATCTCCCTTCAGTCTTATACAGAACTATATTTTAACATTTACCCAACCACCATCTTTTCTACCACCCATCACCTCAGTACTCTACACTCTGAACTTCTCATGGCTGCCATTCTCCCTCATCTTTACTCTTACTCTTCCTAACACATCTATTTATGTGCCCAGAAGAATTTTCAATTAACTAATTCCTGTTTATGGGAGATTAAGTCTTCCAAACAGAAGTCTTCTGTGACCACATGGAGTAAATGCTCTTCCTCCATGCTTACCTACTTCCTGTGTTTACTGAATCCCAGTTCTTGGCATACTGGATTGTGATTGTCTTCATGTATCTGACCCTCCCCCCCTAGTATGTTCCTTAAATGCCAAAAAATAGGTTTGACATGCTTTCATTATATCCTCAGTGTTTGACATATATTAGGTGTTGAAACCTAACATAATCCTTAATATGTAAATAAATATCAAATACATTTGTCTTGTGAAAATGAAGGGGCAGAAAGGAGAAAAGAAGAACTCTTACTCTTGGTGACTCATATTAGAAGTCTCTCTCTGTCTCTCTCTCTCTCTCACTCTTCTCTGTTTTTCTCTGTGACTCTCACACACATGCATACACACACAGTCATTCCTTCTCACCATCCTCTTTCTTTTATATATTCCTAGTAACAATGCTAAGAAGCAGATATTCCCATTCTACCAATGCTAAAACTAAGGCCTACTAATGGTGCCTTGATTCAGACATGAAATAAACAGACCTGAAATTCAAATAATTAATCATTCATTTACTCATTAAATTAATCATTAAGTTATTATGTGTGCTTCATTATCATATTTTGTGTGCAACACTGAAAAACAGAAGTATCAGATTTGATTCTTGACCTAGAAAAAGTCCAAAGGGAGTCAAGGAAAAGTCAAGAAACAAAAGGCAATAGTTATAGTATGGTAGAAATGTATGCAGGGTTCTGTGTGAGCACCAAAGAGGAACAGGAAGCTCTGCCTAGAGCAGGAGATAATAAAGCTGGGTTTGGAGGAAAAATGGGAATTTGTTAGGCAGAGGAGAGAGGTGCAATCAAAGCAGAGGATTTGCACAAGGAAAAAGGAGAGAATCCAACAAGGTAAGAGGAGGAGGCCTACATTCTTGACTCACCAAAGTTTTCAGACTTCCTAGCTCATTCTTGCCTGGGTACTAGAGTTTACCCAGCCTTGAAATGCGTATTGGTCTCTATGTAGGGTAGGTTTAATTAACAGAGGATGTTGGTTAATTATTTGGTCCTTGTTCCAGCCTACATAGTGCTGGACATGACAGAGGAAACCAGAAGTGATAGATGGTGATGGGAAGGCAAAATTTCTTCTTAGGTTTTTTTTTTTCCCTTGTCTGTGCCTACTGAAAAACACACTGTTTAAAAGCAAGAAAACCTTTGCTCTATTAATGGATAACTATATAGTGAGTAGTTAGATATATTCAGAAAACAAGCCTTCGCCTCTCTTGGAAGGTCCAATGAAGATCTGGAACAAGCAATAAGGTTTGTTTTTTCCTCTTCAATAGCCTTGGTATCCTTTGGTGCATTGTAGGCAAAGGAAAGGATCTGGGCTGGGGCCACCAGACCTAATCTTGTATCCTAACTTTGCCACTTGTTAGGCCAACTCTGGTGTCATGAGGCACTGTGGATACCAAATAGGCCAATGTGATCACAGACTGTATTAGTAGAAGTTTAATTATATGAGCAAGAAGGGGATATTAGTCAAGGTCCTCCAGAGAAAAGAACAAGTAGAATTGGAGTGTGTTTATATATGTGTGATATATTTATTTAGAACTGACTTCTGTGATTTTGAAGACTGATAAGTCCCTAAATATGCAATTGGTAAGCTGAAGTTCCAGAGGAGCCCAGAGTATAGTTCTAATCTGAGTCTGAAGGACTGAGAAGCAGAAGAGCCATTGGTACAGTTCCAGTCAGAATGCTGGCAGACTCAAGATCCAGGGAAAGACAATGCTTCAGCTAGAGTAGGAAGGCATGACAAGTGTTAATGCCCTACAATTTGAAAGGTAGTCAGGCAAGAGGAATACTGTCTCATTCAAGGAATAATTCCCTTATTCAGCCTTCAACTGAATGAATGAGACCCCACTCATATCAAGGAAAGCAATCTGCTTTAGGCATTTTATCAATTTAAATGTTAAACTCAACCAAAACTGACCTCACAGAAACACCACAAATAATGCTTGAACAAATATTTGGGCGCTCAGTGGCTAGTCAAGTTGATAAGTAAATTTAACCAGTACAAAGGCTCACGGTTTCTCAGTACTCTGTTAACATTTAATAGGTCTCTGGGGAACAGAACTCTCAGTTCAGATCCCTAAATTTTAAATTGGAGTATATTCTAAGGAAACTTATTTTTTAATTAAGTTTATTGGTACATTTTAGGTATACAATACAGTTACATTCATCATTGGGATCCTGTACCTTTACATGATGTATCTTGGTTCTTATTTTTTCCCCATTCCCCTGCCCTCCCTTCACCCCCTCCTCGCTTCCCTGTTTACAAAGACTTTGTTTCCATTTTTTTTCCTTTTCTCATATTTTTTCTTTTAAGGAAACTTATGAGGTTCAGAAAATACTCAGAATCACTGCATACTGAAGTCACAAGAATTTAAAAATAGAAAAGAAAATCCATGTAGCTTCTTGCATCAGCTTTTTTCACCTGTAAAGTAGAAATAATAATTATGCTTTGTTCAAAAGATTTTTAGGAAGACTTGAATGAGTTAATTGGCATAAAAACACACAACATACTACAGGTTCTTCATGAGGAAGAACTATAACAGGAGGGTAGAGCTATAGGGAGATTTAGAGTATTTGGGCTCAACAGAAGAACCTCTCGGCCCAACAATGGATTCACCAGTGCTTCCTCTTCTGAAACTTGTTCTTCCACTAAGCACTGGACTAGAAGATTTCTAGGGGCTCTTATAAGTCTAGAATTTCAGGTTCGTAATATGCATCTTTCACCAGAACTACTGCTATTGTCTCAAAATTATCTTCAGTCTACCTCTGTACCCAACAAGTTCACCTCACAGATCGATCCCTAAATTCATGCTATAGTCTTACAAATCTCAATACATAACTATAACTACTTTATGCCTCTACTTAATGCTCTCAATAGCTGCTTGTCACTTTAAGGATAAACACCAATCTCTCCAGCCTTTTTCATTGAGGGGCTGTTTTAGACTGGCATTCAAAACCTTTTAGAATCTGGCCTTCTCTTGTCATTTCTATGTGCCAAACATTTCAGCCACAATGAAATACTGGTTATTCCCAGAACCTGACAGGTTCTTCCACATCTATCTTTTTGTCCTGTTTTCTTATGCCGGAATGCTTTTTATGCTTCCTTATTCTTTAAATTTTATTTTGAATGTTACCACATCCAGGAAGCCTTCCCTGATCACGGAGTGGTTGAGGAGTCTATTGTATGCTCCCCCAATACCCTGTACCAGCCTCTTTCACACAGCAAGGGACCTATCCTTTCCCAATATTCTATGATGTCCTGAAGGTGAAGACAAGCATTTAGTATTGGGGGCCTGCCATAGTATGGATTCTTACTATTTTTCTCCTGATTGAATAAAAATGTATTCTCATGATCCAAGGTTGCTTCCTCACTCCAGAGTATGGAACATGGTGACTTTATGAAGTTGCCACTCCAACCAGACATTTACACTGCTTGCATGTTAAATGAGTCTTATAACTGTAAAATTACTACATATTCATTCAATAAAAATGTAGGAAGGGCTGGGAATGTAGCTTAGTGGTAGAGTGCTTGCCTATTATGCACAACTCACTGAATTCCATTCCCTAGCACAAGAAAGACAGAAAGGCAGAAAGAAGGGCAGAAAAAAAGATTTTCAAAAAAAAGAAATTTCTAAAGAAAGAAATTTTGAATAAAGAAAGGATAAGGGGATGGAAGGAGAAAGAAAAGAGGAAAGGAAGAGAAGAGAAAAAAGAAAAGGAAAGGAAAAGAAAAGAAATGGAAACTAGGGAAAATATAGTGAAAATGCTTAAAGACTACCACCATTGTCATATTGATATATTTCCTTCCAGGCTTTTTTTCTATGCATATTTTAAAGTGTTGGCCACCTACTTTCTTTTGTTTTGTTTTCTTTTTCCCCTCTTAACTGTACAAAATGAAGAATTTTCCATGTTAATATGCATTTTTTAATATCTACTAGGTTTTTTTTTTTTGTTTTGGGGGGGTTTTTTTGGTAGCAGGGATCAAACTCGGGTCCTTGCGCTTGTGAGGCAGGCACCGGAACCACTGAGCTAAATCCCCTGCCCAATATCTACTAGTTTTAATGGCTAGATAATATATAATAACTTACTTGCCTCTTTTCTGTTGAACATGTAAGCGAATATTATTTTAGCATTATAGAAAGTTCTATGATAAGCATCTTTTGTGAATAAATCATTTCTGTGTGTCTAGAATTTGTTTCTTGAGATAAGTACCTATGGTTGTTTTTATCTTGTGGAAATCAATGCCTTGATCTATCATCTGCCCATGTTTTCTCCCCTAAATCTTCCAAACTAAAAAGCAAAAACTGGCATCAGTGCCTTGACAGTGTTCCATGTATGGCTCCTAATTAAGGCAATGCGCCCCTTTTTAAATGTGGTCGTAAATATTTGCCTTTGGTGAAATAGATGGCAAGGAGATAATATTGATTGCAAATTACAGCCTTTGTAATTAACCAATTTGCACAGCTGGAAGATGGAGCCAGTGAAATCATTTACTTCTGAAGGAGGATAGTAGCCTTTCCAAATTTGTCTCTCACGTATGAATTTGACTTAATCCCAGGAATGTACCTGGTGTGCCTACATACTCTCAGGTGCTTAATAAATCAACAAGGATCTGGACGGCTGGAATATCTTAACATTTTGTCTGCAGGTCATACAGCCTCCACTATTCACCGCAAATGGCCCTGCATCTCCCAGGTACCTCTGCAAGTACACATAAAAACATACTGGGGAGGGATATGGGCTGAGAGTGGCCCTGAATGCTATGCTAGTGCTGTTCCTGCTGTATCAGGAAGTATAAGTGAGAAGTCCAAGCAACACTAGTCTAGGCTTCTAGTCCTCTAGCCATTGTGGGAGCTGGATCTTAACAGGTAGGGGGAGCAGACAGAGAGCCTCTTGTATGGCCAGCAAAGATGTTGGGGAGAACTCAAAATTATCAGAGTGGGAAGAAGGACAAACTTGTATCAGATGCCTACATAAATATAAAAGGGGTCTTGGTACCCACTTAGGCAGCATGTCTCAGTTTATAAATAGAATTTTGTCTTGGTTACTTTTCTCATTGCTGACACAAAATACTTGACACCCAAAGTTAAAGGAGGAAAGGTTTATTTTGGCTTACAGGTTGTAGAGGTTTCAGTCCATAGTTGGCTGGGTGCAAAGTGGCATGGCAAAGGAGAAACAGCTCATAACAGGTAGCAAGCAGCAAGTAGCAATAGCAGCCCTTTTTCTGTCTGTTATATTCCATCCAGGCTAACTGCCCTTAGGGCAAGTAGCACTCACACCCAGGATGGGACACCCTTAATCCTAGCACAGCATCGTGAATCAATCCCAGCATCACACACTACAGATCCAGCCACCTCTGAAACAAACACCACAACAAATCCTAAAAAATATTTTATTGATTCTTCTCCATAATCATACCCATTTGAGATATAGAGAAACTAAAAAAGCTCAGAGTGGTTAAATCACTTGCCAACTTCATAGTGAGGACCTAAAAGACCAAGCTATGTAATAAAGTAGGTCTTTTGATTTCATGCAATGACTGGAGCATTTTAAATTCATTATATTCGTTATCTATCATATTTAATTCTGGATACTGGTCAAGTCAAATGAGTGTCCTTTTAATGGACAGAGCGAGGAATAAACTTAAAAAACACTGGCCTGGTGTTTAGGGATCCTTAGTGGTAGAAGGTACCAGCATTCAAAAGCACTATATAAGGTGTGATCTAAAAATACAGTGAATGTTTACATTTTTAGAAATGTATTATAATAAAAGATACAATGCCATTAATCCCCCTCAGAACATTACCCCCTTATTCAAACACTCGTCTTGTCACTCTTGCCTCTTTCTGAAACAGTTCTGGAAGTCCTCTTCATGAATCTCTTTAATTGCTTTATTGTGGCTTCCTCAATGTTCTGAATC